TTCTTGTATAGCGCTTTTCTGAGCACTCAAAGCGCTTTACACAACTTGTGCATTCACCCATTCACATTGCTCTAAGTGCTTTCTAAGTAGCATTCACACACATTCATACTCCGATGGATGCATCAGAGAGCAATCTGGGGTTAATATCTTGCCCAAGGATATTTGGCATGCAGACTAGGGAAAGCCAGGAATCGAACCACCAACCTTCCAATCAGTAGATGATCTGCTCTACCGCCTGAGCTACACCCCAGCCACACAGTGTAATTTGGCTAATACTACTACAATAGGACATGATGCAATTTCAAGTTTATAATCTTCAGTTTGATGTTACAATTTTATCTATGTATAAAGTATAACTGAAACCAGTTACATATTTCCCATTCTTTAGACAGTTGTTGGAGGTGATCGCTGTTTTGTCAGATGACTTTGGGGTCAGTCAGTACCATCATGTCAGCCCTCAACAGCACACAAAAGTTAGCCTTTTTTGTCTCCGTCTTGGTCTCGTCTTGACTTGGTCTTGGTCTTGGTCTTGTCTTGACTTGGTCTTGGTCTTGGTCTTGTCTTGGTCTCGGTTTAGGCGGTCTTGACTACAAGTCTATTAGAAACTTTGAGACCAGCTCATCATTGTGGACACATTTTTCGCACGAACATAATGCATTCGCTGTGTTTTCACATTACACAACAAGTTAAGATTGAACACAGGTTGCGCAACAAGCTCAGTTTTTAATGTGTTAATTCTACTTTGCTGACAAAGAGCTGAAGTTTGATATAAAGTGGCCAGGTAGTCATTCCTGTCATACTTCTCTGAGCTCCACCACCTGGTGAATGTGCACGTAGCACACTGCAATGTAAAGTGTCTATAGTGAGGTTACAATAGATTGGAAGGAACAAAGACATTCACATGGACCTTGATGAAAATTGCATCACTAGCATCACCCAAGCAGACTCAAATGGACCCTAGTGGACTTGTTGATGTGGAAAGTAATAATCTATGAGTAACTCCTTGGAGCCTGACCCCTGGTGTTTGTGTTTGACATCATGTCTCTGATGCAGCTCCATCCTTCATGTGGTTTAAACTCACAACTGGCTGGTTAGGGTGGCAGAGCATTTAGTCTGAAAGGCGTCTCTTTTACTTTGAAAATCTGTGTGCCATTCCCGTGTCTGACTTTCTACATATCTTAACCTGCTTTGTGCAGTTTTACCTGTCAAAAGTATACCAGGTGCTATTTTAAAAGATGCAGATTGGAGAGCAGTTTCCAGGATGTCTCTCAAATGCATGCCTGGTAGATTATAGGCAGTGTGTATAGCGGACGTGATGTCAGATCCAGTGGCTAAAACGTAACACAGATGTACCCTGTGTACTCCTGTGTTTAGTTGAAGATGTCTTTAAGGAAATGTGAAGCCTTACCACATGTTTTTTTTAATCTTCCTGTTAACAATCATGAACTTCTACTCTTGTGACTAATGAGTAAAATAGTAACTGACTGAAATCTGTACAGTTTCAAAGAGGATAACAGACTTCACCGTGAGATCCACAACTGTGAGCGTATTGTATCAAATATTAAAAAAAGAAGAAAAAAGAAAAACCCTGAGTTAAAATAATGGGTGGAGCCAAGAGGCGGTTAATGCCAACACAGAGTACAATCTGGCAACCCTTTTGAAGCTCAATCAGGGAACGGGCGTACATATGGATAGATCTGGAGAAATCTGGAGTAGTACAATAAGTAATTTTCTTTCTTTCTTTTTTCACACTGACTCATTTCACTAACTAATGATCAATGACTTTAGCTTATACATGTAAATGAGTCCTCACCGAGTACTTCTACATCAACATAAGTAAACAGGATTTTTTT